TGTGCCAGTCACCACAGGGACCACCTGTACTGGTTTATGCCAGAGCCTTTGCAGTTTGATTTTGAGGTCCTGATAACGGCTGGGTTTTTCCTGTTGTTTTTCCTCAATGCAACTGTCACCCAATATGGTGACATCAATAATCCATATTTTTTTCTTTTCCACAATCATGAAGTCTGGCATATTGTTTTCCAAAACTTTGTCAGTCTGAATTCGAAAGTCCCACAGTATTTTTGTGTGCCCATTTTCCACTACCTTTGCAGGTTTATGATCCCACCAGTTCTTTACTACTGGCAGGTGGTACTTGTGACATAAGTTTCAATGAATCATTTGGGCCAAAGAGTTGTGCCTCTGTTTGTAGTCTGTTTGTGTGATTTTCTTGCAGCAGCTGAGGATATGATCAATGGTTTCATCAGCTTCCTTGCATAGTCTACATTATTATTATTATTATTATTATTATTATTATTATTATTATTATTATTATATTGGGTTATTGTCGGTTTTCTGAGCTATATGGCCATGATCTAGAAGCATTCTCTCCTGCCGTTTCACATGCATCTGTGGCAGGCATCCTCAGAGGTTGTGAGGTTCATTTTATATCAATTTTTTCTTGGTGTCAGGTCTTCATGGCTTCCATGTCCAAGTCCTCTGTGGTGAATATAGATGATTCCTGCAGTAGATTCATATGGCTATTTGTCAGGAAGTTGTTTACTTAAAGGTAGCTTGTGAGAGCATGCCTCTAGTCAGTGGGTAACCTCTGTCTATATAGCCTTGTAGGTGGCAAGGGAAATTTTTACTACATCTGATATTTTGGGAAACAGAGTGGTATGATTCCCTTCACCTCAAAGGAAGAAATTACAGAAATATCTTGTGGAGGTTGGAGAATGCCAGCCAGTGGCTTCCGTGTCAGCGGGGCAGTGAATCCATGTCAGGTTTTCATCCATGTCCTACCCAGCATTGACTTGGTCCTTGTGTGTTAGAAAATGTGATAAAATGATTGCCGATGACAGGCCTATGGGTTTTATCTGCTTTAACGTTTGGCAGCCACCTTGGATCCTATCTCTGAGAAGAAGTAGGAAATAAATATAACTGACAATGGGATTATCCCTCAAATAGCCTACCAGCTGCTTAAGCTACCACTTTAAAGGGATCTTCTGCCTTCCTGGCCTCCTGATTTCTTTCACTTCTTCAAGGATGGTGCCGGCCAGAGACCCAACAGTCTTCCTTTGCCCCAACACCATGGGGGTGTGGATGGCAAAGTTACATATCCTCTGCCTTGTCCCAGAGAGGACTCCTCACAGCTCCACTTCTCAAGGCACTGCCAGGCAGACACGACACTTTTCATTAACTACTGCTGAGTGGCGGCTTCGTGTTTCTCCCGACTCTGTCACCATGACAGCAGCACAGAGAGAGAGGCCTGCAGGCTGCATTATTGCTGCCATTGTCGTTCTGCTGCTGCTCCCCCCTCCCCACCCGCTTCTTCGCAGTCAGAAATGGCAACTGTCAGCTCAGCAGAGAGCACATGGCTGTGGGGAGGAAACATGCCGGGCTGCTCCAGGTGCCTCCACAGATGCTTCTCTCAAAATCGGAGGGCCAGGCCGCCCCGTCATGGCCTCTACCTGGTTTGCAGGATGACCTTCATATTCTATCATCATGAATGTTGCTCTTTCCCAAGTACATCAAAGCAAAGTGAGTGGTGCCTTCCCAAGTCCTTCAATATTTGGGGGTTTACAGGTGGGTAAAGGACCTTTGGACTCTGACATGCATTTTTCTGGGGCATGTGTGAGCAGGAGAGAGACAACAGGTCCAACCAGACCTTCCTTCTCTTCTTTGGACTGAAATGAGTTTGGTTTGGAAAGCCCATTGTGCCACTTTCTTCTCTGAAGTAACCCTCCTGCAAGTTTTTTTTTTTACCTCTGGTTACATTACTCGGCTGCTGCTGAATACACAAGGCTAGTGTGAAATACATATCACCACGTTAAAACAGTGGATGTGGCTCTTAATGAGACATGCTGCATTATCACAGGATGTCTATGCCCCATACCACTGGAGAAATTATAATGTTTAGCTGGTATTGCACTATCCAACATCTCTCAGGAAGTAGCAGCCAGTAATGTAATGACAGTGACATCTCTGGCCCATCCCGTTCAGATATCAGCCAGCATGTCAATGCCTTAAATCAAGAAATAGCTTTCTAAGATCTTCAGAGATACTCGCAGGAACACCTCAGCAAGCGAGAGTCCAAAAGTGGCAGCCTAAAACTCAGAACCTCAATCCATGACTGATACTGGATGAGAAACTCCCTCCTGGACACACAGAAGAATGGGTGACTTGGCAGGTGTTCTCTGGCACCATGAGGTGCCGAGCCAATCTTCAGAAATGGGACTACAAAGTGGGGTCCACGACATGCGGAGAAGTGTGGAGAAGAGCAAACCAGAGAACACTTACTACAACGCAGCCTGAGCCCTGCAACATGCATGATGGAGGACCTCCTTACAGCAACACCAGAGGCACTCCAAGTGGCCAGCTTCCAGTCAAAGGACACTTAGTATAACATGTTTGTGTTTTTAAATACATTATAACTGTACCCTCAATTTGCTTCTGACATGATAAATAAATACATTAGTCTTTTCAAAAGCATACATGATAAGTATCTGGACTGATAGGGGGTTAATGAAGGGTTTCATAATGGGAAGGAATTGGTCCTGAAACTCTCAGCTGTTGGCAACTCCATGAGTCCAATTTCAAGAGAGAGGAGCCAACAAGACACCTTCTACCAATGAAGTTCCCCAGCTGGAAAGGGGCAAGCCCACCCCACACTAAAGAGACACAAGTCAGACCTGCAACAAAAGCTGTGTTGTACAACTGTCTCTGCTCAAAGTTCCAGACAGTCCTGCTTTTCCAGATGCTCCACTTCAATTCCTGTTTTCTAATCTTGGTTACAGAGAATGCTCAGTCTGATGTGTGTGTGTGTGTGTGTGTATTTCTTCTGACAGCTTTCTTGACCTGCGGCAAATCCCAAGGTTCCTTTGGCCTTCCTGATACCTGCCTCTTGGACAGGGATGGCCTTTGTTTGTATGTGGTGCCACAGTCGAGCTCTTCCCCACATCAGGGAATTAGGGTGCTGTAGTTCCACTTGAATTGTCAAGGCTCCATTTTGGGGGATCCTGCGGTCTACAATTCAATGGGGCACTGCGATACTACAGCATCCTCTCTAACTGCAACCTCTGCTTATTTATTTATTGTGTCAGAAGCTAATTGAGGATGGCATTATAATACATTTAAAAACCACACATTTAAAAACTTGGCATGATACTAAATGTCCTTTGACCAGAAGTTGGCCACTTGGAGTGCCTCTGGTGTTGCTGTGAGAAAGTCCTCCATTGTGCACGTGGCAGGGCTCAGGTTGCATTGTATTAGCTGGTCTGTGGTTTGCTCTTCTCTACACTCGCATGTCGTGGACTCCACTTTGTGGCCTCATTTCTCAAGGTTGGCTGTGCATCTTGTGGTGCCAGAGCGCAGTCTGTTCAGTGCCTTTCAAGTCGCCCAGTTTTCTATGTGACCAGAAGGGAGTCTCTCATTCGGTATCAGGTTCTGGGCATGTTGTGGCTTCTACTTGGTAGCCCCATTTCTGAAGATTGGCTTTGCATCTCGCTCAACCCTCTGCTATGAGATTCATATAAATCTTAATATCCCCACAACCCTTTCATCCACCTATTGCAGGTCTACACATTCTGGCTCAGTAACCCATCTGATACAGAGGGCAGGTGCAGCTTTGTGTCCTAAGACTGGGACATTTCTCAATGGGATAATGGCCTTTAACGGCCTCACTAAACTACAAACCCCAGAATTCTGCAGGAGGCGGAAACCAGTGGATTCATTCTCTAGGATGAGGTCAAGGCTAGGCAATTATACTCTCATCTACACTGACCATTTAAAGTACTTAAAAGCTAGCATCAAACTCCAGCAGCTAGGCAACAAAAATGCCCTCAAAAGAATGTGAAAATAAACCCTTTAAGCCATGCATAAGGAAAAGGAAAGGTTTTCCCTGACATTAAGTCCAGTTGTGTCCAACTCTGGGGGATGGTGCTCATCTCCATTTCTAAGCCAAAGAGCCGTTGTTGTCCACAGACACCTCCAAGGTCATGCATGACTGCATGGAGCACCATTACCTTCCCGTCAGAGCAGTACCTTTGGGACTGTGTAATAAGGCGGCATTAGAAACTCTTAGTATGCCAACCAAATTCAATCTGGTTGTTGAGACAGTTTTAACTAGAGGATAAGTGATTTTAATGTTTTTGTATGCGTATGGTCTGGTATGTTTCAACATTGAATGTTTGCCATTTATATGTTGTGCTCTGCCCTGAGCCCCCTTCGGGGTGAATATAAATGCTTTAAATAAATAAATATTGATCTACTCTACCTAGCGATCTCACATTTGCATGTTTTCGAACTGCTAGGTTGGCAGGAGCTGGGACTAACAATGGGAGCTCATGCGGCTCCGCGGATTAGAACCTGCCCTTTTGGTCAACAAGTTCAGCAGCTCAGCTGTTTAACCCACTGTTAAACCCAGAGGGGGCACCTTAAGCCATGCTCTGGGTCCCGAGGAAAAGGAAGGGGCCTGAGGCTGTTAGGACTTGTAGGAGTTGAAGTGCAAAACACCCAGAGGGCCCAAGTTAGCCCATGCTTGCTTTAATCAATGCTCTTTGGCTTGTGTAATAACCATCCAGGCCTCAGTGGGGTTCTAGGATTTCCTAGTTCATCATCTGCACCACGAAACCACTCTCTTCGTTAGTACCTATATGTGAAACACGGTACGAAGGGGTCAGTGTAGATGTGCGTCCCTTTCAGGCGGAGGCTCCCTGTCTGTCTCTTTGCAATGCGCTCCTCTCCTGGGGAAGAAGGCGGCGGGGGGGGGGGGGGGGCTGGGAAGACTGCGTGCGCCTCGGGCAGCAGAGGGAGGGGGGAGGGAGGGGGGGAGGGGGGCGCTATTCTGGGCTCGGGAAGCGCGCAGCAGGGGCCTCAGAGGCGGCCTCTTCCCATTTGGAGCGCGGGCCCTTCCTTCCTTCCTTCCTTCCTTCCTTCCTTCCTTCCTTCCTTCCTTCCTTGTTGTCCTGAGCGGGGGCTCCGTGACGTGACAGGGAGAAGGACGCGCCCGCTTCGGGAAGGACGAGGCGGGAGCCAGGCACATCCCGGCAGGAAATTCCATCCAGGGGCCGCCCCGGGGACCCTCCGCACGGCTGTAGTGCTGGCCCAGGGGCGGGCGGAGAGGAAGGCTGCCCTCCCCTCCATCGGCCACCAATAGCCCCGCGGGGAAGGAGGAAAGCCCCCCCCCCCCGCCTCTCGTCCAAGCGGGAGGAAGGAAGAGCTCGTCCAGCGCCGGGGCTGAGCTGCTCCTGCCGCCACCGTCGGAATAGAAGGAGGAGCCAGAGGGCGGGGCCAGAGAGAGAGAGAGAGAGAGAAAAGGAGAGAGAGAGAGAAAGGGAAGGAAGGCAGGAAGGGAAAGGGAGAGCAAGGCGCGCGCGGAGACAAAGGCAGCGGCAGCAGCAGCAGAGGCATCAGCCCCGGCGCGGCGTGGCGATGGAGGCGGCGGGAGGAAGCTGAGCTAAGCAGCCCACGCTGCCCGGACCCGCGTGGACCCGAGGCATGGCTCTCCCGCCAGCCAGAGATGGGGCTCCTGCGGGGGAGCCTTGAGCCCGGCGCTGGAAGAGACGGTGAGGAAAGAGGGAGGGAGGGAGGGAGAGCCCGTCCTCTCCCAAGGGGTGCCCTTCCTCGCTTAGCCCTCGCTTCCCTTCTTCCATCCAACCTTCCCCCTTCTCTCTCTCCACGTGCCTCCCGCAGCTGCCTCTCGGAAGGTATCAAACGGGCTCGCTCTCCTTCTTTTTTTCCCTCCCTCCCCCCCTTTCCTTCCTCCCCCGGCTCCCGGGCGAGGCGGCAGGCGAGACCAGCTGGCACGGGTGCCTTCTCTCTCTCTTTCCCTCCCCCCTTCTTTCTCCCCCCCCCCCCTCTCTCGCTGCCTCCTGTTGCTCGGGCACCTGGGGCTCGGCGCAGTCGGGGAACGTGGCGGCATTTCCCGTGGCTGGCAGCCGGCTCGCGTGGAGGCGAGTGGCAGGATGGGTGGGGGAGGAACGGAATGGCACGGAGAGAGAGAAAGAGAATTGGGGGGGGGGGCGCTGGGGAAGAAAGAGGCGCGCCCCCGCCGCTCTGCGTGGACGCGCCCGCTCGCCCCCCCGCCCTCCCGTCCTGTGTGGAGGCCTGCCCTCCCGTCCGCGCGCGTGCCCCGCGCCGACGCCCCCTTTGTGGTCCAACGCAGCGGGGCATCGTCGGCGGGTAGGAGCCGCTGCCTTCCGGGAGGAGCCCGCTTGGCACGCAGCCCGCGAGGCATATCCTTCCCGCTGGGCGCCCGGGGATGCGGCAAAGGAGGGGAGGCGGCGGCGGCGGCGAGGAGGATCCACCCGGGGATCGACTCGCCGAGGTGACCGCGAGCCCTGCACGGAAGCGCCCCAAGGGCTCTGGTGCCAGCAGGTCACGGGCAGAGCCGAAAAGGGGGGGGGGGTCTCTGCCTCTGAGCTACAGGGCCAGTGGAAGGTCTGACGGCCATGACCTATGAGGAGCGGCTTAAAGAGCTGGGTCTGTTTCGCCTGCAGAAGAGAAGGCGCAGTGGAGACAAGAGAGCCATGTATAATATGTGAAAGGATGTCATAAGGAAGAAACACGTTTTCTGTTGCCCTGGAAATTAGGACTGGGAGCAATGGGTCCATATTACAGGGAAAGAGAGTCCATCTGAACTTTCCTGACTGTAAGAGCGGTTCAGCAATGGAACTCTCTCTGCCCCGGAGTGTGGGGGAGGCTCCTGTGGAGGCTCTTAAGCAGAGGCTGGATGGCCCTCTGTCGGGGTGCTTTTATTATGCTTTTCCTGCATGACAAGGGATTGGATTAGTCGCCCATGCTGTCTCTTTCATCTCTACAATCCTGTATTTTTGGAATAGCCCCTTGGATTTGAGGATAGGGTTGACCTAGCCCCAAATCATTGAACCATATCAGAAAGTCAAGCCAAAGTGAAATGCCTCTGTGGAGTACAACTTTCACCTTTGAAGGCAGCTCTCCCCCACCCAAATCCAGACACACACCATTATTTATTGGGGGTCAGGCAGTGACACTCTGCATATGCTCAAAGGCTTGTTTGACATCCCAAGGACCATGCTGATCTTTGGCTTGAATCAAGCCTTGAGTATAGAACTGAGCCATAGAATGATGCCGTGGTCTGAATAGGGGAGTACGACCCTAGAGACCAATCCCTGCTTGGCCATGAAGCCCACTAGGTGACCTTGGGCAAGTCACACTCTCTCAGCCTCAGAGGAAGGCGAGGACAAACCTTGCCAAAAAGGCCCCTCTGTGAGAGGGTCCCCATAGGATGGGAATTCAAATTCACACAGAAACATCAGAAATATTGAGTGTGTCTCTTGGGAACCCTCATATTTGGTGTTGTGTGCTTGCCTTGAATCTCAGATGGTGTGCTTGCTGTCTTTGGTCTTGTCAGTTTCTCATTCAGTCTGATGTGTTCACATCAAGCTGGCTTCAGGGCAGCCCATGACTGGTGGTGACCCCATGACCCCAACCATGAGCCTTTGCGAGGTGAGGCTGTGTAGGTCTAGTCTGGTAGGAAAGCCCAGCAGAGGTCTCCACTGGAAGTCGCCACTCCTGAATGCACGGTTTGAAAAGAGGTGGGTGGGAGGTCACTGCCACTCTGCATTGAAGTCTGTTAAAGGCCTTCATCAGGGGAGGAGGCAAAGGTGCTTTCAAGGCACTCAAGGGCTTGTTGGAGTCCTCCTTTGAGGCAATACGATCCCCCCCCCCCTCCCCACACTCAATTTCTCCAACAGCCTCAGCCACCGCAACATGCCAGTCAATCTGTCCTGCTTCCCATAGAGGCAAGCCTTCCACTAGACCAGATTCAAGCTGGGGAGGAATCTTTGCCAAAAGGCTGCTAAGTCTTTACTCTGACATTTATTGTCGTGATTTGGTGCTGGAATCTGCATTGCCCAGCATTGCTGTTCCCTTTTATTTTCGGGGGAGAGGAGGCAATCGCTTCTCACTGGAAATCTTTCTCTTTCCCTCCCTCCTTTCCTTTCTCACACACAGATTGCTTCTACAGCAGTGCAATTGGCCATGGACGCAAAGGGAAAAAACCCCTCATTTCCCCTCACTCTCTGGCTCTATTTCATACACACACACACACACACACACCTACATTATTAACAGTGTATGCTATTTTCATCCTCGTCTTAATTATCAGTGTCTGAAAGCATATTCAAAGACATTCTATATGAAAACAAGTTAGGATTAAAAGAGCCATTCTGGTCTTTTCTGTTGGAAAGAATAAATTCACCACCTGCACAAATTTTGCAGGTGGTGAATTTAATGCCAGGGATTTCCCCTGGCATTAAATCCAGTCGTGTCCGACTCTGGGGGTCAGTGCTCATCTCCATTTCTAAGCTGAAGAGCCAGCGTTGTCTGTAGACACCTCCAAGTCGTGTGGCCAGCATGACTGCATGGAGCACCTCTACCTTCCCACCAGAGTGGTACCTATTTATCTACTCACATTTGCATGTTTTTGAACTGCTAGGTTGGCAGAAGCTAGAGCAAACAGCGGGAGCTCACACCGCTCCCCGGATTTGCTTGAGTAGAAAAGTATTAAGGCTGGTACTTCCTCAAAAAGGCTTTAGTGCCGTGGTTCTCAACCTGTGGGTTCCCAGATGTTTTGGCCTTCAACTCCTTGGAATCTTAACAGCTGGGAAACTGGCTGGAAATTTTGGGAGTTGAAGGCCAAAACACCTGGGGACCCACAGGTTGAGAACCACTGTCTTAGTGCTTCTTGTGATGCCCTGTTACAGTGGGGCTTGGCTTCAGGCCAGCAGGATCTCCAAGAGGAGACAGGGAGCCCTGCTGCAATGGATCAAAAGGCCACCCAGCCCAGCCTCCTGTGTGCCACAGTAGCCAACCAGATACCCCAAGAGTAAGCCCTCACACCAGAGCTTGAAAGCCTTTGGCCCTCTCTGTCTGTTGGCTATTCCTGGCTGTTATTCAGAGGCATTTTTTGCTGTGTGGAGAGGGGGTGGGATATGGATTTAATCTAGCTCTGGCCTCTGCTTGTTAGAGATGTTCTGTCCCAGCACACAGCAGTGTATTCGGGAAGGCCAAAATGCCTTGTGACCTGTTTCTGTTCAGCAGCCAGCAATCTCAAAGAGTCAAAGTTGTTCCAGGCAGAAAGGTCCAGTGTGGTGACCTTGTCTTTGTCCTGGAGGGCTCTCCATTTAGAAGGTGACTGGAGTCTGACTCTCTTTCTGATCAGGCTGATGCTTTCTTTGTACTAAGTTTTTTTTTACATCCTCATTTTTGCATGAAGGTAACTCTGATTCTGTGATAACTACAGGCATTAGTTGTGGTTTGTATGTAAACAATGGCACTGGTTCCAGACTGTTGCTTCTGAGACATCAATTCCCAGAACCCTTTGCCAGCATGGCCAAAAACAAAGGGGGGGGGGGTTCTGGGAACTAAAGTCCAAAACTTCTGGAAGGCCTGCTGTATACAAATCAAAATAAAAGCATGGATGACTTCTTTTCTTGGATGGGATAAGACATCCAAGTCTCAATGGCTTAGGTACTTTTAAAGAACAGCAAATTAGCAGGGATTTATTTTCTTACTGTTTCTACTGGGGGGGGGGGGTAAGAGGGGTCATATGGCACAATTTTGTTTATTACAATCTGTGTAAAGGGRCAAGCCATACAGGGCATTGTAATCCTTCATCCTAGAAACCTAACCTCTTGATCAGTCCTCATGGACAAGTTAAACATGAGCCAACAATGTGATGCAGCAGCTAAAATAGCCAATTGGATTTTGGCCTGTATGAATAGGAGGATAGTGTCTAGATCCAGGGAAGTCATGCTACCCTTCTATTCAGCCTTGGTCAGACCACACCTAGAATACTGTGTCCAATTCTGGGCACCACAATTGAAGGAAGATGTTGACAAGCTGGAATGTGTCTAGAGGAGGGCAACTGAAATGATCAAGGGTCTGGGGAACAAGCCCTATGAGGAGCAGTTTAAAGAGCTGGGCATGTTTAGCTTGCAGAAGAGAAGGCTGAAAAGAGACATGATGGCCATGTATAAATATATCATAGGGAGGAGGGAACAATCTTGTTTTCTGCTGCCCCGGAGACTAGGATGTGGAACCATGGCTTCAAACTGCAGGAAAAGATATTCCACCTGAACACGAGAAAGAACTTCCTAACTGTGAGAGCTGTTCAGCAGTGGAACTCTCTGCCCCGGAGTGTGGTGGAGGCTCCTTCATTGGATGCTTTTAAAAAGGATGGATGGCCATCTGCTGGGGATGCTTTGAATTTCCCTGCTTCTTGGCAGGGGGTTGGACTGGATGGCCCACGAGGTCTCTTCTAACTCTAGGATTCTATGATTCAGCTTCCTTTCTGGCTTTTGTCATTTAGTTATTACAGTTATATCCCATCTTACTTCCAAGGAGCTGGAAGGAATATGCATGCTTTTTATTTGCCCCATTAACCTCACAACAGTGTTACATAGTAGGTTAACCTGAAAATAATGAATTGTCCATGATCAACCCTTGAACTTCTTGGTTGAATGCAGAGTTGAACACTGTTCTCCCAGCTACTAAATGTGATATCCTGACAATTACCCACCTG